GGATGTAATGACAGATAAAAGATTCAGCTAAATTTGCTTTCATGAAGTAGCGTTTTTTCTGTTGGTTGACTTTCATCAACTTCCAGGTCTTGATCCACAAGTGCAAAAGTATCATTACTGCTTTTTTCAGAATTCGACGGCACTGGTTTCGTCTGAAATCCTGACTTGTTAATGCTCGATCGTTCTCCTTCGGTAGCTTTTTTGTCCTTAAATTATCCAGATTTTCTGCATTTTCAAGCAACAGTATAAGGTAGAAAATTTAGCACTAATTTCGCTTTCTCAATCTTTCCATGAAAAGGAAGCAAAATATTTTTGGGGCTCAGCAAAAATCTGAGCATTAAAACTGCACAGAATACTGATAGCAACAGTCAGCTATTAGAAAAGCAGCTCTGAGACAGTTTCTAAATGTAAACTACTTACAGCATTAGTTTCGTTGAACGTCCTTGGCGCTATGCCGCCCCGATCAGCAATTTTTGGGTAGACCGGACGATACAATATCAAATCATCTCCAAACTGGTCTCCCTCTTCTAAACAGTATTCAAGTTACAGCATTTTATCAGTTTTTATTATTGAGTCTTCTATTACTGTCGTGTAATACTGCATAGACTGTTAAAACAAATTTTGTATTTTGGTATATCTCAAAAATCTAACTATTATATGTTGAAAAATTTTAAAATTGTTAGATTTTTTAAAATTACTTCGTTAATAACCTGTTGTGCTTTTTCTGCTGAAGTTTCAGTCAAAGATAAAAAGCGAGATGTTTGACTGCTGACTTAGTAGAAAAAAGAAGAATAAAAAGAAACAGCTCAACTTTAAAATAAAATTATTATCAACTGAAATTAGCGGAAAGGTAGAATGCTAAAATAGACAATAAAAAAGGATTCGGAAAAAGATTGGTTTATTTTGAGTGCTTTTTTTAATCGAATGAATCTAGCAATGAGCAGATTAGAAGAATATAAGATGAAAAAAAATTTTTTTCTCTGCCTTACTGATAGGTCCGTCGTAAACTTGTCCTAATCGAAATTCTGGTGAAATATAGCGACCTCCTTCAACCTGACTACTACAAAAATCTAAAATAATATTGTATAAATATGATCAACGTAGCCGAATAAATCACAACCACACTGGGATGATCCCTTATTACAGAAATTTATTTAACCTTAAAAAAACATCAACTAAGTTAGTGTACCATAATTAATTGTTGGTGGTGTTGAGTTTGGTATACGGTAGGGCAAAGTACCAATAGTTAGTGGAAAATCCATACATAAAGATTCATTTCCTTTCTCGTCTTCTATTGAGGTCTGCAAAATAAACAATTTATGCTGTACAGAGTTGGAAGACAAGAAGAATTGACAAATTTTGGTTTGTTTACCTTTAGAATATAATAAATTTGGATTAACCGACAAACTCCAACTAATGTTGGCGGTACAACGGGCAGTGTTATTGGTTCATCCAACTCGGAATCGTACCGTCCTCGACTATTTGGCGGCGTTAAGGGAGATCTGTAAATTAGCATATTTGTTGCCGGTGAACACAGTCGTGAAGCAGCACTTTTAGT